AGATTTTGCAAGAAAATGGTTTCTCTCCAGTGTGTATTTTCTTATGATATAATAAAGAAGCGCTGTTTGAAAATGTTGATCCACATACAAGACAAGAATATGGCTTCTCACCAGTGTGTATTCGCATGTGTGTTTTTAAACTAGAATTCTGTGAAAATGCAGATCCACATATATCACAAGAAAATGGTTTCTCTCCAGTGTGTATCCGCATGTGTTTGTTTAAACTGGAACTCACTGAAAACACTGAACCACATACATCACAAGAAAATGGTTTCTCTCCAGTATGTATTCGCATGTGTGCTTTTAAAACAGAACTCTGTGAAAATGCTGACCCACACTGCTGACAAGAAAACGGTTTCTCTCCAGTGTGTATTCGTATGTGTTTTTTTAAACCAGAACTCTGTGAAAATGATGATCCACACACTTCACAAGAAAATGGTTTCTCTCCAGTGTGTACTTGTGTGTGTTGCCTTAAACGGCAAAGACGCGTAAATGTTGCTTCACAAATGTCACAAGAAAATCGTTTCTCTCCAGCATGAATTTTCTTATGAGATAATAAAGAAGAGCCATTTGGAAATACTGATCCACATATACCACAAGAAAATGGTTTCTCACCAGTGTGTATTCGCATGTGTGTTTTTAAACCAGAACTCTGTGAAAATGCTGATCCACATACATGACAAGAAAATGGCTTTTCTCCAGTGTGTATTCGCATATGCTTTTTTAAACTAGATTCCACAGAAAATGCTGATCCACATACTTGACAAGTAAATGGTTTCTCTCCAGTGTGTATTCGTACATGATTTATTAAACCTGAACTGACAGCAAATTTTGATCCACATACTTGACAAGAAAAGGGTGGTTTTTCTCGATTATGAGTTTCCATGTCTGTTCACAGCTTTTAACTTTCTTAAATTATTGGTCAGCATATGTCATCACAGCAAGCTTTCTTTTTCATATGCATTCATCTGTTTTTTTTTCCTTAATTTTAAAGTGTGCTCAAATGAATGAAAATGATTTGTTGTCTGTATGTTTCTCATATGTCTTGTTAAAGTAAGATTCTCTGAACATGCTGATCTACACTATTAACAAAAATATGGTTTCTCTTCAATGTCTTTTTGCATGTGTTTTTTCAAATTTGAAATCTGTAAAAATACTGATCTGCAACACTTCAAAACACTTGCTCTACAGTATGTCATTAAGTGTAGAATTTGTAATGAGAATTTAGTAAAAATGCTGATATAAGGACTTTGAAAGAATGAAGAAATTCTCTCCTTTGTGAATTGATTTATGACTAAACAGGAACGATGGCAAAATGCCTATGTGCCCACTTTTCAGGAATGTGTTTTTCTTTGGCATATGTCACCTTGTATCTTTTCCAATGTTTCTCCTCACTTGATCTGTGAATAAAGAAGAGGTTTTATGAAAGAAAACAGCAAAAACTCATACATTATTTACAGTTATTATAATCATTCAAATAGAAAAAACATGAATAAACAAATTGGTACTTTTGCTTTTATCTAAAGCAAAAGGTCACTTCTGTATTTCTAAATTTACAAGCCAATTGTTTCCACACTAAATATTTTCTCCTTGCATAAAGATAACAATTTTATTTTACATTAGGTACCTACACTTTTTTCATAAAAAAAATGTGTATGATGATGAAAAAAGGCCCCAAACTTGAGAAAAACAAAGTTTTATTGTAAAAATATTTGTTATTAAGAGGAAAGACCAAAGGATTTTTTGATTAGTTTATTAAATTTTTTAATCCTTTCTAACATGTTCAAAATTTTTGTTAAAAATTTCAGTTTTTTTGTATCAGTAGTGGCCAAAAGATTACTATAGGTATTTTAGTACCTTTTTTCTGGTAAAAAAAAAAAACAAACAAAAAAACACATTAATTTGAAAATTCTTGCAAAAAATCAAATAATTGTCATATTTTTATGAAAATTGCAGGACTCATTCACAAATGATTGAAATTATTTTTCAAATGTTCTTTTAAGAAAATCTTGGTAAAAATATTTTTTTTACATATGTTACCAACTGCCAGTTAACCACTTAATTTTATCAAATTTTGAGAAATTAAATTTTGATCACAAAATGTTTTTATTAGTTAAAAAGCAGTACTCCTTGGAGGATGTAAACCATCAAATTTTTTTTCAGTTACTCATTTCCCAAACATATTTAACCAATGAGTTTAAATGTGTCAAATATTTTATCCTATCAACACAACTGAAAGATAAAAATAATCCATATATGTATAACATGGCCAGCCCAGCTCGATCCTGAGTTGTTCCCATGCTGGTCAGTATTGCTGCTAGTCAGTTGATGGTTATCTGCTGACCACTTCATTCCTTCATCTGCTCTGCCTCATGTTGCGTTCTTTGATCACAGAACAGAGAAGATTTAATTTTCGTCCATACCTGAGTGCTGAATTGAGCTGTGGTGGTACCATGCTACAAAAGGATCAAGAATGTTTCCTCTGGTGAAAATACAAATAACATGAGAAATAACAAAGAAGGTCACTGAGTTAGTTTTCAGTTGGTTCATATAGTCATTGATACAACAAAATTAATCCTTTCTGTTAAACTTTCTACTGTGACACTGTGTCTCTTGCTTCTAAAACCTGGAGCAGGTCAGACCATTCACACAAGATGGTCATCAGGAATTCTTGGCAGCAGGTCGCATGGGGTTCATCAGCTCCTTTGTCCGCTGTTGACTCGTCTCAGCTCTCGCTCCAACTACTGGTCTCAACTAAGCATTCGGTTCATATCTATTTTGCCTGATTCCTTACCACATCTCAACACTCATTATTTAGCAATTATTTTCTCCAATCTTGGAGATATGACACCAACCCTTAAACAAAGCAGACTGCTATTTCAAAACAATAATTCCTTGACAACAAACTGTGTTTAACATTCCTTTTAACAAGCGACTTAAATATAATTTTTCTATTAACAAACTTTTGTGTTTAAAAATTATCTCTATTTTCTATGACATAAAAAATTTTTTTTTTTGTTGATGATTTTCATAATGACTGATTTAAAATCGCATTGTTTACACTTTACAAAATGCGTTAACTATTCAAAACAATAATTTTTTCCAATAACAACTTTTATGTTTTTAAAATTTATTTCTGCTGTCAAAGAATTTTTCTTTGTTGACAACTTTCAAAATGACCAATTTAAAATATCGTTATTTACATTTTGGCTTTACGACAATTAACACTGAAAAGCAGTCAGCTATTTGAAACAATTATTTTTTTCCATTAACAACTTTTAAAAATTATTTCTGCGGCCAAAGAATTTTCACATTCCTCAGGACATATTTTAGACTGTTCACACTCTGGCATTTGCAAATTCATAACAATTCTACTTGCCCATTAGTTTATCAGGAAAAAGAAACATTTCTCTTTTTTACCTCCACTTCATATTTCAATTCATGTTTTTAACCCTTTGAATTCTCTAATTCCCATACGGAGTTTTCACATAAACCCTTTTAATCCTTATTTCATGCTGCCAGTGTCACAATAGTGTCACATATGTAAGAAAAGCAATGTAAAAAGGTCAATGTTATAATGTTTAACATCCATACTATTGCATGGTATGGATGTTAAAATGCATATAAATTATAATTTTGTTGTACATTATATCTAGTCTGGAAACAATGTTAATACTCCACATTTGAAATCTATATTAAAAACTTTTCAGTCAGAATTATATTTCTTAAGGACATGCATTATTATTGGCAAAAATCAATCAGAATATAATAAAGTATTATTCAAAAATAGTATGTTGGTTGATATCAGTATACCAACCACTATGGATTATTTAATGCCAAAATCTAGATATTTTGTATGTAATTCTATGGAGATAATAATGGTTTTAGTAGTTCAAATCTTACTAATTAACCCATAGCTAAGGGGAGAAGAGGCTGATTCATACCTTTCTCAAGCTTATTTGCACATAAGTACCTAACAGGAATTGGAACTCAGCTCTCCAATTAACATTTATGAGCCATTATACATTACACCACATGCACAGCCAAGGTTACAATACCTGGTATTCCCAAGCAGTCACCCATCTAGATACTGACCAGACTTGATGTTGCTTAACTTTGGTGATTGTACAGGAATTGGAGTTTCAACATGATGTGGCCATATGCTATTCACAAGTGGGAAAATAAATTTTTCTCTCTATAATATAATGCTGTGCAAAATCATATAAACTTTTTATTTCTGAACAGCGATAATATATTCAAAGAATCACATTGTATTTTAATGAAACATTAAAAAACGAAAAGACATGTAAACAAATCTATGATTATAACATCTCAGAAATGGTAACAGAAATAAAAGAGTCACATCATGCAATTCTTTGAAACATTAAAAAAGAGTAAAGAGGCAAAACATATATGTGATGATAAAACACAAGATGAGAAAGTCAATTCAAATAAAATCAGTGTATAATAATAATTCCTCATCTTAAAAACTGAAGAGAATTATCACATTGGTCAGGTTGAAATTCATTACCCGGTTAAGGCAGTGCAGAACTTTCAGAGGGAAATTAGCAGGAGATAACTGACATCCATCAAACATGGCATGTGGAACTAGAACAGTCTACCACAGTGAGCAAAATAAAGGGTTCAGTTCGATATTCCAACCACCTGAAGAAGGCCGGAGTGTACAACGGCTGAAACATTGTGATAAATATGGTGACAAAGATGAGGACAATAGTCCGAATAATGTAAATAATATATCAACCTCCATACATTATTTAATGCCAAAATCTAAATATTTTGCATGCAATTTTTTGGAGATAGTAATTGTTTTAGAAATACAAATCTTATTAATTAACTCATAGCTGTGGGGAAAAGAGGTTGATTCATACCTCCCCCAAGCATATTTGTACATAATATAAAATACTCAATTGGAATTGGAACTCGACTCACCAATTAACATTTTTGAGCCATTATACATTACACCACATGCACATCCAAGGTTACAACACCTGATATTCCCAAGTGGTCACCTATCTAGGTATTGACCAGGCTTGATGTTGCTTAACTTTGGTGATTGGATAGGAACTAGTGTTTCAACATGATGTGCCCATATGCCATTCACAAGTGGAAAAATATTTCTCTCTATAAAATAATGCTGAGTAAAATTGTATAAACGTTTTATTTGGTGTAAAATTCTGAACAGTTATAATATATTCAAAGAAGCACATTGTATTTTTACTGAAACATTAAAAAGATCAAGAGACATCAACCTATGACAATAACAAAACCGAGTTAATAATGACAATTTTTCATCTCACAAATGGTAACAGAAATAAAAGACATGCAATTCTTTGAAATATTAAAAAAGAGTAAAAGGCAAAACGTATATGTGGTTATAAAACACAAGATGAGAAAGTCAATTCAAATAAAATCAGTGTATAATAATAATTCCTCATCTCAAAAACTGAAGAGAATTATCACATTGGTCAGGTTGAAATACATTCAAACTAGTTTTCTGCTAGAAACATTTGCTCTCATTTTATATTGCATTATTGTAATGTATAATAAAGGAAATCAAATTTGAAACCAAATAAAAATTTAACTTTTGGTTTTTAAATATCTAAAAACTACTGATCTATTTATTTTTCAGATTATCCACTAAATAGAATAGATTTTTAAAATATTTTTTTTAATTAATTTAATAATATTCTAGACCATTATTGATGTATTCCCTGTCAATATCTTTTTCTAATTATGTGATACCTTTGAGGATTAAACTTTATAAAAATGTAAAAATTTGGAAATTTTTAAAAATAGGGTATCTTTTTTTTATCTCGCATCTCAAAAGTGTGTATGATTTTAGATGTACCTAACTTTAAATCACCATTCTTAGAATTCACAGCAGTCATTTCCAATCAAAACTTGAATTTGGACCAACATTAACCCATTTCAATAAATAACAGTTAACTGGAAAAACACTAGTTAAAAACTGGGAGACCAGTATAAAGAGCACAAGATAGAGAATTCCCCTGGCAATAATAGGAACCTTGACAGGTTTGCAGATGTGTAAAAATCATGCACTAAAATTTTTTAAAATTATCATTATGAATTTTGTTTTTGAAGAACTGAAAATAGATCTGGCAAGAAATTGTATATGTAGAAATTAATGTATTAAAAGCTTTTCTAATTAAAGAAATATTTTAGTTCTAGTGCATTTTTAATTTTACAATTCAGGGTAGACTTGAAGCCCTCTTTAATCCAAAGATTTTGAAAATTTAAATTCGCCAAGGACTTGTTCTTCTAGCAAATATAAATATTATGCAATGCAAAAAAAGAATTTCTTGAAATTACATATAAATTAGATAAGTGTGGAGTGTGCTAAAAAACTTTTTGTGATAAAAAAAAAGAAACATTTCAAAAATAATTTAATTCATTTCTGAATAGTCTTGAAAATTTAATTAAAATTTAACAATTATTTGATTTTTGAAAGGATTTCCAAATAAATGTTTTTTCGACACAAAAAAGAAAAATTCATTTGGCTTTTCCTTTCATATGGTTTTATTAAAATTACAAAAAAATTTTACAATAAAACTTTATTTTTAATAAGATTGGGGCATTTTTTATGGCTGTTTAAAACCCTTGTTTTTGTCATATAGGAAAATCCAACATGGCGTGTAAACGAAATATTCGTCGAAAAAGCCCCATTAATAAGTAACATTTTAAATACCTCATAGAATGTAAAGTTCTTAAAGCAAACCTGTGCCAAACTGTTTTCCTGAATCCTTGATGACTTGGCTGTCCGAAAATGACAACATCAAAATGAAATAATGGAAACTGACCATGAAAAACAATTATGTGCAACAATTTTTTTGATCAATCAGTAAACTTCTGGACCTTTTCAGGTGACATTATAGGATCCAGACAGCTATTGTTTGCACATGGAATTATACACTGGTAATTAATCTTCGATTTGGCTGTGGAAAATGTCACTTGACAGTTAGCATTAAGAAATTATGTTCAATTTTCTGAGAAAAATCACCTTTTTTTTATGAAAAAATATTTATTTTCACTTCAAAATAATGTCATTCAAACTTTGCCCCCTTCCCCTTAATTTGGTGTGAACATCATTGAATAAAAGGAAGGGCTAAATGACCTGGCAATAGGAAATACGAAAGACGTGATGAAAAAAACAATGTCGTCAACTAAGTGTTGTTGTCATCACCTGGGTCACAGGGCGTTAAAAACAAAACACATCAAGCCATTGTTCAAACATAGGTTTGAAAAAAAAAACAAAAAAAACCTTATATCAAGCTCTACCAATGTTGACCCTTTTTTTTTTTTTTTTTTGCTCTTATCTGGGAGTGATAGGTTTTATTACAAGCCGATGACAACGTTTATTGCTGGCTGGCTTTTGGCGCAGACATGTCAAAGTCAATTTGGATTAATTTTCCTTATTGCTGCTCTTTTTTGAAAAAAAAAAAAAAAAAAAACTTTCTGGTGGTCAGGAATTGCAGATAAATCTTTCGCCTTTTACTAAAGATTTCTGTGGCAGGATGTCAATTATTTTAAACCCTGGTAGTCATATAACTGAAAATTACCAATAGACTGTCGCATTTTGACCCCCGAGGAATGCTGATTTCCTTCAAAACTCTCAATTTTATGCCTGAAATAGTTTGATTATGATTTAGGCATTCTGATTTTTCAAAAAAAAAAAAAAAAAAAAAAGAAAAAAGGTTAATTTCCCATTAATGGGAGAAAATTTTGTTTAGAACTAGAAAAAATGCAAAATTTTCACTATTTTTTCACATTTTACCCCCTGAAAAAAATTGAGTCATTTACACCAGCCAATTTTACTTTTAAATGAAACAATATATCCTTTGCTTTCAGAAAATACCTAGTTTCATGGGGTTCAGATCAAAAGTTTCCTTGATATTTGTTTACTTTATGATAATAAAACACTCATTTTTCAAAATTTTACCCCTATAAAAGTATGAAAATCCGTTTTTTCAGAGAAAATAAGCTGTGACAAAATGACTTTTGCCATTTTTGTGATGATTTTTACATGGGATAGAAAATTTTTACTATTTAAGTTCAGTGGGGCAATAGGAAACCTCAAACAGCCGTGTTTTACGCCATGTACACTAGCGAATCTTTGGAGGTGCCTACATAATCTTTCAAATAAAAAACAAAGAAGACATTTCAAGTAAAGCGCGTTTTCCGTTTTTTTTTTGTTTTTTTTTTTGAAATACGTGGCGGTACCTAGAAAATAATACAGTGATTAAGAAACCCAATCAAATGAAACATAATGTGATGGAATAGAAAGGTCATTCAGCAAAATGCAACCGTTATTGTTTGCTTTCAATCAGACGACTTTTAATAACAGACTATAAATAATTCAGATAATACTGGTTCATGTCCGCCAGTGAATAATTTATTGACAACATATCATTAATTAGTTCCCGTTAAAAAGAACAAAATTAAACTAAATTACCTGAATGTCTTTTCGTATGGGTTACTTTTTTTTTTCTAATTTACTTCTAAAAACTATTGTTGACAAATGGCAGGAATTAAAAAAGAAATTTTAAATTATGAATTAAAAATAACTAATGAAATCAAGCAAAAAGCAAATGAATTAAATTTTAATTTTAAAAAGGATCATTTTTCAATGAAGGAATTTTACTGGTACTTTTTACACAGAAAAAAGTGGAAACGCGTGTACTGATGAACAATATTTTGAAAACATTTTTCGTCAAGTTTCGAATTTTTAAATACTATATATTCTTTAAAAATATTCCTGTTCCTTTGATTTATGCAAAAATTGTGAAGTGTAAAAATTAAGGATGACTATTCGTAGTATTGTTTATTTACACACTGAAATTCACTCAAAAAAATATTTTCACAAATTTCTATTTGCAAACAAAGAAATTAATACTCACTGCTTTCTTCCATAGGATTATTGAACTTACTTCAGATGATGAAGTATTTGAGAAAAACGGATAGTCTATAAAATAAATTGATGTTTTCTTGTTAAATAAATAAATAAAAATCAGCCGTCTCTTGCGAGTTGCGACTGATGAAAAATGATGGCTCCTGATCGTAAGGGTAAGGGAGACAATACCGGCCATGAAAAAGAGAAATGTTACGCCTTTCTTGGTATTTTTACTTTTTCCAATGAAACTCGAATTCACCAAATGGAATCATTGATTTATAATTCTAATTCGTGGTTTAGATTTCTTTCCAGGATAACGTGTAATAAAAAAACTGGTCATTGTTAATTTGTTTTCTTTCCTCCTTACATTTGTGATGTTGTGTTCTTATTTATAGTGGTATGGGGGCTTTGGGGTTAATGAACAGTTGATCACAAGAAGGTTAAGAGAGGATAGTAATGATGAGGAAACACACGACTAATTTTAACAAAATAAGATAAGGAATTTATTTAGGAATTTACACACTTGAGGGAGTGTCAGGAAAATAAATCGAATATTTTTAAAGTCCATAGTTTTAATGAATTCTCATGAACAGGAATGTTTATATAACAAATTGAATGATCTGACGAAAAAAGATATTAAAAAATGTTTAAAACCAAAGTAAGAGAGTTTGCTGCTCACCAAAGTGATATGTGGTTTGCATGTGTTCAAAGTTCTGCATGCTTGGTTAAAAGTCAATATAATTGGTGAGTAATTTTACGCTGACAGGAACTTGAACACTGGACATGATAAGCCGACAGAAATTAAGAGCCTGCTTTTGATATAAATACTTTCATGGTAATTGTTCAGATGAGCTCTTTGCTATGGTACATAGACTTCATGAATTTAAGTGCAGTACGAGACTGGTGTTGAGATTTCATCACATGACAGATGAGCTGGCTAGATGTAGCTGTAAGTTCTATACTAACAGTTTCTTTGATGTCCTGTATGAATTTTTTCAGAGTTGCTTCACTGAGTGATTTGGAGACGATAATTCTTGTGTTTTAAGAGCAAGTCTTTTGATAATTGATATTTCAGGAACCATCTTTTCTACAGTCTGGAACCAATGTAACCTGAGTTTATTAAGATAAACTCTGTTCATAGAGCATACCCCATGGAAGTAATTGTCCAATGACAATT